TTGGGTTTTGCTATGCATACAATGGGAAGCCACTGGAAGGTTTTGAGCTGAAGAAGAATATGGCCTGACTATGTATCATTAAAATCATTTCAGTTGTTTGAAAAGAAGAATTGAGCTGGGAGACTATTGCAAGACTGTTGCAGAAGCAGTGTTTTTAGTTTTGCTTGTTTTATTTTGCAGGGGTGGGCAGGGGGTGGTGATGAAGATCAGCAGATTGCCTTTGGACATGTTAAATTTAAAATATCCGACAGACATCCAAGCAGACTTGTTAACAGCCAGATGGACATCTACAGTGTATGTTTCCAGGGAGAGATCTGGGCTGGAGTTCTAACTCTGGGAGTTGTCAGCCTAGAGACAATATTGACAGGCAGAAGACTGAATGAGATCAGTCAGGAAGTGAGTGTAGACAGAAAGAGGAAGCCATCAAAGAACTAACCTGGAGTCAGTCCAATGTTAAAGATCTGGACCATGAGGGGGAGGAGACTGAGCAGGTGGGGCCATGACGGGAGAAGGACAACCAGGTGTAGGCTCCAGGAGAGAAGAGCCAATGGTGTCCAGTGTTGTTGGTAGGAAAGTCAGGTGAGGACTGAAAACTCATTATGCCTGAATATCTGAGGATCTTATTTATGTAGCCTGTTAATTGTTCTTCAGTCTCTCAGCTCACTCCCTCCGAATATACCCAAACTCATTTCTTTTCTTTTTTTTTATCCCCCTCCTTCCTCTCAGCTGGCATTTCTACTTCTTTGCCTCTTCTAACAGAAATCATGCAAGCTTTCACCACCTGTTCCCTGGATCAATGCAACAAAAGGTCCACATGCTAGGAGTCTAAGGCAAAAACTGCTCTAGAGAGGCAAGCAAATTAGGAAGAAAGCAAAGGCTGTCAATTTTGATAACGATATGTTTTTTAAAATATTTTTGTGTTTATTGACTAAAAATAAAATAATTCAAATGCACCAGCTATCAAAGAAGTACAGATTTAAAATAAACTGGCCACCATTTTTCTGCAAATCAAATTGGCATTTTAAAAAAATAAAACATAGCCCGTATGGGCAAGGCTCAGCAGACATTCTCATATACCACTGGTAGAAGTGTTAATTGGTAAAACTTTTCCACAGGGCAATTTGGCAATATATAAAAACAATTTTTTAAAGTTCCTTCTTCACACCTTTTGGTCCAGTGATTCTGAGTCTAGCAATTTATTGTAAGGAAATAATCAGAATGCACACTAAGATTTCCATAATAAGAAACTTATTTTGTAGCATTGTTTCTTATAGAATTTAGGATATAGAATTCTATAAAATTCTATATTCTTGTAGAATATAGAAACAATACCTTAGTGTTGTTTCTTATAAAATCATGGAATTAAAATAGTGATTAAAGTAATTTAATATCCAACACTGGAGCTTGAGTCAGTAAATTATGAAAGAGCCATAAAATATGCTCCCCAACAAAAGAATATCTAAAAGATATGAGAAAATGTCAACAAGGTATTGTCAAAATAAGAAAAAAAAAGAAAAGCTCTAAAATGGTACTATGGTATGATCCTAATTTTTGTATGGTATGATTCTAATGTATGTTATGAAAAAGAACAGAAACATTTAAAATATATCAGTTAAAATTTTCATAGTAATTATTTCTGTACATGCTTGAAATTACTGAAATTTTACTCATTCAATAAATGTTTATTTATGTTATTTATGTTTATGTTTATTAAAAATTCAAAAACATTTATTGAAGGCCGACCATGTGGGAGGCCCTGTTCTGGGTGCTGGGGAGGCAGTGAAAACTGATAGAATTCTGGCTCTTGTAGCTGCTGACATTCCATCAGGAGGGATACAAAAATAAACAATGATAAATAAAGAAATTACACATCTCTTAGGAGGTGATAAGTGGTAGAGGAAAGAAAGAAAAGCAGAAGATGTGACATTGGAAGTGGGATGGTTGGCATTTTAAATCAGGTGGTCAGGGTAAGTGTTATTGAGAAGGTGGCATTTAACAAAGACTTTATGGAGGTGAAGGAAGTAGCCATGTGAATACTCAGGGAGAAGTATTCCAGATGGAAAAGGTCAGCAAATGCAAAGGCCCTGACGTGGAAGCATGTCTGGGGAGCAGCAGGAAACCTGTGTGGATGGAGCTGATGAACATGGTAGTAGGAAAGGAAGAGCCAGACTGGGTCAGACCCACTGGAAGGATTTGGAAATGTTGGGAAAGATGTGTTAAGAAGCAAGACTAGATAATTGAGTTGGGATCGAGGGAGAACAGTAAATATTTTGAGAATTGTTCAGGTTCTGGATATATTTTGAAAGTAGGACAAACAATTTCTTGATGGTTTATATATCAGGTACAAAAGAGAGGCCTTCAAGGTTTGGGGCCCCAGTGCCTGGGAGGATAAACTTGTCAGCAACTGAGGTGGAAAGACTGTGAGTAGAGCAGGTTTGGGATGGGTGTGGAGGAGGTTGGGAGTTGAGTTTTGAACCTGATAAGTCTCTCCAAGGGGAGATTTCCAGAAGGAACTTGGCCATGGAAAAATTTGGAGTTCTCTGGACATGTCTGAGCTAGAGAGATACATTTGGGCATCATCAGTATATAGATGGTATGTGAACTTTGGGAATGGGTGAATTCACCAAGGGAGTAACCACGGACAGACTAGAGGTCCAGAGACTGTGTCCAGGGAACTCCAACACCAGAGGTTAGGGAGACAAGTAACAACCAGAGGAGGGTTGAGAAAGTGACCAGTGAGGCAGAAGAAAAATCAAAAGAATGTGGAGCAAACAGTGTTTCAAATGCTGCTCAAAAGCTGGTAGGTTACATAAGTTGAGAAGTGAACGTTGATCACTGGATTTAGCAAGGTGGAGGTCAGGGCACTGGTGCCCTTGATAAGAATGGTTTTCATGGAATGTCTTGAGAGACACTGAAGGCAGCAGTTGGAGGTGTTTGAGTACAGACAACCCCTTTGAGGAATTTTGCCACAAAGGGATTTAGAGAGATGGATGGTGACTGACTGGGGGAGGGAGATATAAAAACAGCTTTGTTTTTATTTTCTTTTTAGATAGAATAAATAGCAGCATGTTTGTACGCTGATGGGGAGCCTAGCGAGTCCACAGTGATCATTGATATTCTCAAGGTAGGAAGTTGCCCGCAGATGGCATGGCTGGGAGGCCATGAAGGCAATGCCCAGGCAACCAACCTCCCCCCGCCAGTCCAGTCCACTCTTTTGTCTGAATCCCTAAGTCTCCAACTTCTCCACTGAATCAGGGGGTCACATTTAAAATAAACATTTAGGGCAGGCATGACCTTACAGGATAATAATCATAATTAAGATCTCCCCCATCTCATTGCACTCCACACACCAACAGGCCATTTGCCCCCACTGGAAAGTGGTTTAAAGTTTCAGAATTACAGATTGATCAGAAGCCACAGAATGCTATAAGAAAAAGAAAAATCTTAGCCCTTTGATCCTCACAGGATTCTGTAATCCAGGAAACCAAAGCACCTACTATTTGCTCCCCCTTCAGTGAAGGCTAGAACTGTAAAGAGAAAACGTGGGAAATGAACTTTGGCTCTCTGTGGGAGGGCTTCCGCACACCTCAGCTAGAACTCAGAGCATACATTTTAGTATCCATCCTCATCCATCTGCCAGCAGAGGCCTGAGCTCCCTCCTTCATACACAACATTCCCACAAGGATGATATCTATTCTTTTTCTCCCTCCCATGGGTCCAATATCATCATTCTTCTTCCTTTTCCTTATAAAAACCAGTTCTCAGAAGAATGCCTGTTGACCCAGCAACTCCACTGCTGGGATTATACCTTAAAAATCATAAAACACCAATTCAAAAGAATCTATGCACCCCAATGTTCATAGCAGCACAGTTTACAATAGCCAAGTGCTGGAAGCAAGCTAGGTGCCCATCAGTAAATGAGTGGATCAAAAAACTATAGTACATTTACACAATGGAATTCTATACAGCAGAAAGAAAGAAGGAGCTTACACCCTTCACGACAGCATGGATGGAACAGGAGAGTGTTATGCTAAGTGAAATAAGCCAAGTGGTGAAAGACAAATACCATATGATCTCACCTATAAGCAGAACTTGATCAATAAAACAAACAAGCAAGCAAAATAAAAAACAGAGACATCGAAATAAAGAACAGACTGATGGTAGCCAAAGGGGAGGGGGAAGGGGGAAAATGGGGTAAAGCAGGGGAGGGGTCATCAAGGAACATGTATAAAGGACCCATGGGCAAAGCCAAAGGTGGATTTGAGCCAAAGGATTGAGGGTGGGAGGTAGGGGGTGGGTGGGAAGGGGGTTAGGGGACGGCAGAAAATGGAGACAACTGTACTTGGAAAACAATAAAAAATAAAAAGCCAAAAAAAGGAAAAGAATGCCAGAAGGAACGCCATTTAGAACGGGCAGGGGTTTTATGTTAGTTCTCATTTTACAAATGAAAAACCAAATCTCAGAGGGTGAAGTGAACTGCCCAAAAGCCAACAGTCAATTGGGAAAACTCCCAAATGTTTTTTGATCAGCTCATTTACACTGAAGTATATTGATTGATATGTTCTCTGACAAAGGCAAGTTGTAACAGAAGCCATAGCCCTGAGCCAAAGAAAGGGGTGCTGAGAAGTAGAAATGGAGGTACAGCGAACAGGGGGAGATGCTGTCATGTTAGCCTCAGGGCAGTCTTCCTGGCCTTTGACAGGTTTGATGCTTTGATGGGTAAGCTGTAAACCATAAACCGTTCCCTGGTTTGTCCATTCTAGTTCTCAATGTGGAGGGATTTTGCCCCTAAGGGGACATTTGGCAATGTCTGGGCGCCTTTTGGTTGTCACACTGTGGGGAAGGTGCTGTTGGCATCTAGCAGGTACAGACCACAGATGCTGCTAAACATTCTACAGTACAGAGAACAGCCCTTGCCCCCAATATATGACCTCAAATGTCAGTCATTTTAGAAACTTTGTGTTACTCTGAAGGAAAAGGAAAATAAGAAAGAGCATTACCAAAAGTTGGCTCTGGAGTAGTGTTCCATGTAGAGCTGGTCATCAGAAAAGGGGGCCAAGTGGATGTCGCTGAATGTCGGGAACATCATTCCTGATGAGCAAAAGACAACAGACCCAAAGGTTGACTCCTACTGCCTTCTGATTGAACAGTCCTCTTACCCACCACTTGACCAGTTCCATTCTTTCAGCTATTTCAGTTATCACACAACAGGCTAAAATGCAATTTTTTTCTCACAGCAAGGATACAGAAATTAGGCAGGAGATCAGATGGGATATGAAAGGACAGCAAAGCAAGTCCCACAGCTTTGTGATGATAAAAGCCTGGGGAGTCCCAGGTGAGATTCGACCTGGCATATGCGCCCTCCTGGCTCTTGGCCTTTTTCTTTCCTGTATGTCCTCTGCTTGAAATCCTGGGAACTTCCTTTATCTATTTATTTTCCTCTTATTTATTGTAAAAACAACTTGGCTTTGAAAATAATCAACATTTCATCATTCTATCACATTATTTCCCTTCTCAGACATGTCCATGTATAATCACACTGCCTCTCTTTTTAAGCGCTATCAGGATCTGTGCTCATACACAGGCTCGCCACCCTCCACACCGGCACACCCACACTTCTATCTTGTTCCTGACATCTCCAGTCACCAGGGCAAAGGCAGATTCTTTGGCTGGCAAACGAACACCTAGACTAGCGTGTCTGAAATCAGGCCTTTCTGAGCAGGCAGACTTGGTGATCAACGTTATTATTCTTGTCATTTTAGGGAGACCCTTTTTCATTGTCATTATTAAACTGCACATAAAAGACAGATAAACTATTAACCCTATTTCAGAAATGAGGATTGCCTAAGAAACTGATTAAAGTAAAAAGTAATAATACCAAAAACTTCTTGATTTTAACTTTGCCATGAGCTTTTTTTCCTGAGCTTTCTATGTACTAATTTTTTTAATCCTCATAACAATATAAAGTGGGTTCTATTATTTATACCTACTTTGTAAATGAGAAAAAATTAAGAAACAGGGAAACTTGAGTGTCTCAGCCACAATCTCAGAGCTAAAAAGTGTAAGGACAAAATCCAGGGATGGAATCTCATTCAACAGTCAGTGGCCCCATACTTTAACTCAAAGCGTATTAAAATAGAACAGATTGTTTTATTTAGGGTATTTTCAGCAGTACTCACAGAAAAAGCATGATTGTAAGATCATCCATATGTCACAATCTAAATCTCATACATCAGTGTCAAAACAATAATAACTGCTTGGTGATTTTTCAATTTCAAGATAGAAGGATATTTAAAAACCTTAGAAAATTAATAAGTGCCACTATTTGGGTAAACTTGGGAAGCTTCAGAGAAGGATGTTCTGAGCCTAGGCCTAATAGGAATTCAAAGATATCAAGTAAAATGGAGAAGAGAAAATCAAAGGTAAAATATAAAACAATATTCCAAAAGTTGAAAAAAAGTCTTTTGATTCAACATACTCACTACAAGTCCATCATAAGAATTTAAAAAGTTTTACATGAAGATTAGAAATGAAGACAAGATACTAAAAATGTCCACAGGGGAAAACCATGTCATTTTAAAGCATCAGAAGTCAGGATGGCACTGGATTTCTCAATAGCAATATTAGAAACCGAAAACCAGAAAAATATGTCTTAAAAATACTGAGCAAAAATTGTGTATAATTTAAAATATTCTACCCAGCAATATGATAATTCATGGACTCAGTAAAAAGTAACTTCTCAAGCCTCCTTTCTCCAGCACCTGTTAGAGAATATTCTTCGCTGAAGTGATGGTGTGAACCAAGAAAGAGGAAGACACAGGAATGGGGAGAAAGAGGCAAAGTATGGTAGCCATGCAACAGCAGTAGTAGAGAAGAGAGGGTCAGAGGAGGAAGGCTTCTGTAGACTAAACACTGACAGGACCCGTCCAACCCATTGGAACACAGAAAAAATTAGTCATGAGTATATAGAAAACTAAGGTAATAAAAAAAACAGATAATTAACTCCAGGAAAAGCAAAAGATTTCACCAGAAAATATATAATCATATGTACATATTATACTACCTGATTCAGCACTGAACAATATTTATAATTTCATAACAAACATTGATTATTGATTTAACCAAATAATAATCTAGGTCCATATTTCTTTACATTAAATTCTGAAATCTAAAAAGCTCTGCTCTGCAAAGCAACAGATTCTTGTAAGTTTGCAACATCATCCGATGACAAAACCTGACCTGAACTGGTGCTAGTCTATTTATAGTCCCTATTTACCTTACTTGATGTCCATATTCATATTTTCATTGCAGAAATACATATAATGTGGTTCATTATGAAGTGTTCATTATGAAGCATATGAGTGTGCTACCTTTCTAAAGTCCTCCAGCTTCTGAATTTTGAAACGTATCTGGTCCCAAGGGTTAGGATAAGGGATTGAGGACCTGCGTAAATATATTGAGAGGATTGGGGGTGGAGAGGATGTGTCAAGAAGGGAGAGAGCTGCTATGTAGGAAAACTAACTCCTTAACCACAGAATGACAAGAAGAGCAATAGGATAACTTTATATAGAAACATGCAGGTAAATAATAGAAGAAACAGAACAGAGTCAAAGGAATTGCCTTTGGGGAGCAGTCTCAGGATAGGAGGAGATGAAACAGAGAGTTTCTATTTTTTCATCCTAAGCCTTTTATTACTATTGGATATTGTAAACTATATCTTCTTTCGATGAAAAATAAAAATAATTAGAAAGAAAATCAATCATCCTTCCCTCAGGAGCACACAGGGTAGAAAGCTGATAAAATCAGTATTTATTTCTACTTGTCTAGTTAAAGAACATAGCCCAATATAAAATTTCATATCCATTTCAGCCATCTGGGGGAATATGCCACTTAGAGAGGCTCAATCAGATGCACGTTAATTAACTAGGTGCAAAATCTCGCACGTGGAAGCACCTCACCATTAGAAACATTCCAGAAAAAGTATAAAAATTCTTCCTGGGGGCAGTGAGGAGGGAATCTAAGCAGCCTTGCTCCTCCCCTTCACCTCCCACAGTTCGGTTTTATTGCTGGAACACAAGGCTTCCAGGGTCATCCCCAAATGCTTTGCAACAAGGACACCAACGACGTTCTTGCCATTAGGTGTACTTGGCCTAAGTTTGTTTGTTTGTTTATCATTGACATGAGGTTTTTCAGTGCAAACTTCTGAATCCCTAAATTTTGAAAACATATGAAATTATAGGCAAGTCTCAAGGTTTACTGATACCCATATACTGTGTCACTTGGTTAAATATGAGCTGCACTTTAATTTCCCTTTTTTGTCTTTATTGGATACCCAGGTAGGGTGCCACAACACTGGTAATTTAAAGTAAATACAAGAGTGGTAAGAAGCTGCGATTCTCATGAGAGATACAACTGTTAAGATTGGCCACTTACCTTCTACACCTTAACTGAAAAACACGAGCTGTTAGGACGTGCCCACTCTCTCCGGTGACAAGTGGGAAGTCAGCGCACACGCAGGAGCTGTGCATGTGGGATGCAGGCCAGAGCGACCTGGGGTCAAATTGCTGCTCTGTCACTTTTTGACTTTAAATAATTTTTTTTCAGTTACAGTTGACATACAATATTGTATTAGTTTCAGGTATGCAACTCGGTGATTAGACATTGTATAAGTTACTAAGTTACCACCTCAGTAAATCTAGTTCTTAAACCTCAGTTCTTGAACGTCTTGGTTCTCAAAGAATTGGAGTCTCAGCTAACTAATTCACCTTAGTTCTCAATTCTCTACCCCAAAACCCTTTCATGCTGATACCTGTGTGATCCTGTGTGATACCAGGTCTCTCAGACAACAAAGGTGATTCAGTTTTCAAACAAATCACTTCTCAAACAATTTTCTGGAATGAATGAAGTTCAAGAATGGAGTTTGCGCTATATGATCGACTGTATTCCCTGTGCTGTATTCTACATCCCCATGGCTATTCTGTAAGTACAATTTGTACTTTTTAATCCTGTTATCTTTTTTACCCAGACTTTAACCCCCCTCCCATCTGGCAATGTCAAAATGTTTTCTGTGTCTATGAGTCTGCTTCTGTTATGCTTGTTCATTTATTTTGCTTTATAGATTTCACATATAAGTGAAATCATATGGCATTTGTCTTCCTTTGTCTGACTTATTTCACTCAGCACAATACCCTCCAGGTCCCTCTGTGTTTTTGCAGATGGCAAGATTTCACCCTTTTTTTTTCCTATGGCTGAGTCATATTCCATTGTATACATGCACCATTTCTTATCCACTCATCTCCCAGTGGACACTTAGGTTGTTTCCATACCTTGGCTATAGTAAATGACACTGCAGTGAACATATGGATATAACTGTCTTTTCAATTTAGTATTTTGGGTTTCTCTGGGTAAATTCCCAAGAATAGAATTGCTGGGTCCTTCTTTGTCTTTTGTAATGTGGTTTTTGTTTTAAAGTCTATTTTGTCTGGTATAAGTATTGCTACTCCAGGTTTTGTTTGTTTGTTTCCATTCTCATGAAATATCTTTCCATCCTTTATTTTGTCTGTGCGTGTCTTTCAGTCTGAAGTGAGTCTTTTGTAGACAGCATACATATGGGTCTTCATGTCACTTATTAAAGGTATGCCCTTGCTAAGTTGCTTTCCTCATTGTGCCAGGTCTTTTCAGGCCTATTCCCCTCATTGTGCCAGGGCTTCTCAGGTCTCAGGCTTGGCACTACTGACAGTTTAGGCTGGATACCTCTTTGAAGCACAGAGGCTGTCTTGAGCATTGAAGGATGTTTAGCAGCATCCCCCTGGCTTTTCCTGCTAGGTGCTGGTAGAACCCCCACCCCCAGTTGTGAAACCCAAAATGTCTCCAGATGTTGTCAAATGTCCCCTAGGAAAGGAATGTAAAATCATGTAGAACCTCAGCAATAACTCTTCAAATAAGTTAAAAACCTCCATCATTCACACTTTGTAAGGTTTTCATAAAATAATTCATGCAAATTGTCTAGCACGTGCAGACAATTGGTAAGCACAAAAATTATTAGACTTTATATTTTTATCTTGATTATATTCAGTCATCATAGTGAAAAAAACAAAGAGTAGAAAAAGGGTAAGTCAGAAACAACTACCAAACCCCAGAGAGTTTATTATACTATAGAAAGTCAACATCAGAGAGAACTTTAGAGATTATTTTTAATATTATAGATGAGAAAATCAAAGTCAAAAGGTCAAATATTAGGTCAAGTTCCTTAAGGAGGAGAGTAATAGAACGAGGACAAAAATACCTAACTCTGAACTGATGCTCGTACAACACTGATTACTACGCCACACACTGCCACCATGTCTTTTAAGATTTTACTTTATTAACTTTTAGAGAAAGGGGAAGGGAGGGAGAAAGAGAGGGAGAGAAACATCGATGTGAGAGGGAAACATTGATCGTACATGCCCCAGCCAGGGCCTGTCCCTGCAACCTGGGCATGTGCCCTGACTGGGAATCGAACTAGAAACCTTTCACTTTGTGGGATGCTGCCCAACTAGCTGAGCCACACTGGTCAGGGCACCATCATCTCCTTATGGCTGAAGACTATCTCATTCGTCATGGAATAAGATGAGAAATTCAGAGAATTGGTGTAACAGAAATGTTCTCTCCCCCTTTCTGTCAATAATTAAGCATGAAGGGAAAAGATGGCAAATTTTAAAACATTAGCTTGTTTTCTAAACAAGGATTGGCCAACTCACCATTTGTTTTCAGCCATTTTTTGGAATGAAGGTAACTCTCCAGCATCCTTTCATTGAACAGCATGTATCCCATTGGTTCCGAAATAATCACATCTACAGCCTCAGGAAGTGAGATCTCTTCAATTTTCCCTGGCAGAACAATGATCTTGTCTGAAAGGTGATTATTTTTCACTAACATCTGAAAAAGATAAAAGAGAGTACTGCTATTCTTGTCACACAGAATCTGTGAGTTTTGTAGGTAAGGGGTTGACAGTGTCATAAGGACGAGAGGGAAGTGACACATCTGTTTCTATAAACACCGTAAACAGTTTTCTTCTTACTGCACAAATGTTTCATGTTCAGTACAGATAAATTAGAAGATTCAGATATGGGACAAGTAAAAGCAGCTGTAATTGTACCACATACAAATAATAACCATTAATAATTCGACATATACCCTTCCGTACTTTTATACAAATACTGTGTGTTTATATGTGTGAGTATGTGTGATCTGTGTCTGCATATACACACAGGGGGCAAAAGTAGGTTTACAGTTATAAGACAAATAAATAATACAATAATTAACAAATAATAATACAAGAATAAACTGTGTTTTCTGTATTCACACCTGTAAACCCATGTTTTCCCCACCTTGTATACATACAGGTACTTTTTGGGAGATTGCTTTTTACTGATGATTTCATCCCATTTTTCTGCCTGCAATAAAGATGCCAAAAAGTTCTGTATAATAACCTTGCCCTAATTAATGATCTTGATCCTCATTAAATTATCCCTTAATCTTTTGATTCCAAAAATGATACCATGTGCATTAACCTGTCTTTAGAAGTACATTTTACAGTTATGTAGTCATTTTTCTTTGATGTCCTCTGTTTTATTGAATAACTTTGAACTCACTTAAAAGAGGGGCCTTGAAGATTCAAGGCCTTGAAATAATAAATTTATTTACTATTTCTCTAATATAGGTCTTCTTAGCACCAAATATGACAAGGTAATTGCATTATGACATCTATGTCTTTCTAGTTCCTGAAAGAAATGTTTCCTAGTAAACATCTTACATATACCAGCATAACATACAGCACATTCCTTGTTCAGTTGGGGTTCCCTGAGACCCTAAGACTCTTACATCTTTATTCATTGCATTTATACATGGTCAGAGACTTTCCATTTTGTATTTTCCTAACTTGATCCCTTCCCTCATCCTAAAAGCAGTGTACCATAAACTTATCATGATTCCACTCTCAATTTCTGATCACTTCTTCACATAGCTAGAGTATCTTTCACCTCAAATTCTATCTTCTAGGGTGCTGCTCACCACCATGTGTCCTATATGCTTCTTAAATGTCTTTTCTACTTTTACATTTAAAACAAGAAATCAAGTAATCTCTAAGGAAACTATGAAAATGTCATCCTTCGTCAATATTTATCCATGCAGAAGGACTCAGAATTCCATTCTATCGTCATTCCACGTTAGTTAAGTTCATGGGGTTGTATAGAAACGAGCCCTGAAGGTCAAAGCCTTTAGTGTCCTGCTTCTCTCTGTGCACCGTCTTCTCAGGAGAGCCCATTCCTCTCCGTGGCTCAGACTATGGCTCCATGCGGACAACTGCCCATGAGAAGTCTTTAGGTTCCTCTCTCACCTGAGCTGAGGCCAAACATTTCCACCAACGCACTTTCTCATCTCCTTGATATGGACAAGTAAAGACCCAAACTCAGGTTCTTCTTGAAAACTAACCATTTCTCTAAATGTCATTTGAATCTTTATATAAACATAGACTTCCTTGATTCTGTTTTTGTCACTAATACTATAATCCTCAACATCCTGAGGGCACACATGGTTGTTTCTTGTAGACAATTAGTTACTATGTTTCCTTATTTCTGCCTTTCAGATATGACTCATTTCCACTTTTTCCTCTCTGCCTGCACCAACTTGTCTGGTTCCTAATAGCTTCAAATTGGGAATTTAAAAATAGCATTTACATAATGAAAATAATAACAGTAGTGCCTACTTCATAGGCTTACATGAGGTTAACACAAGATAAAGCTTATTAAGGGCTAAGTATTATACATTATAATTGTTGTCATGTTATTTTTATTAAAAATATTACTAAAAAAAGAAATGTAGATGAAAAAACATGAAAATAAAAATCACTTGTATTCTCATAATCCAGATGAAGGCAAGGTATATTTTTGAGCAGACATTTTAGTGTATCCCTGTTTAAAAATATATAATATTTTGCAATTATATGTTAATTAATCAATATAAAATAATCTTTTTCTCTGTAATATGTTTTAGACCAGTTGACGTGGTTAAATCAAACACATCCAAACTTATTTGAATACTTTGCAGGGCTTTTTAAAATTGAACATTTATTTATCTCCTACAGATCAACCTGGAGGAAGCAATTAAAATACTTATTTGGTAATCCGAAGTTTGAATACAATTTCTTGACAAAGATAGTTGAAAATAGGATATAAACTCAACCAAGAAGAGCTTGAAGACAAGAGCGGCTAATTCCAGATATCAACAAATAATATTTTTTGAGTCAGCCTTGCTGCCTCCCTTCATCTTTGGTTTATATCATTCTCAGTGCAGATCATTTATGTCACTTCATACACCTTTCTTCCAAAACTGAAAGTAGAACTCTCCTTTCCAGGACAACATGAACTTCAGTATGCCCCTCCAAGTGCTGTAAAAGGCCCTTCCTGCAGAAGGCTCCATCATCCATCATACTCACTGTTACACAGATTTTTACTGTGTGACCTGGTTCTTTAGGATAGAGGGAGTTGAGGATAGAGAGAGATTCCAAATAAAGGCTCTTTTCCCCAGATACCATCAAGGTACAAGTAAACTATCACATCTATTCTTGTTTTGACTCTGCTTCCTTGTTATTACACTGGGTTTTAAAAGCCTGTTTCAACAGTCCTGTCACTTGTCATCAGTTGCTTAAAATACACACAAACACCCATATATACACACACTTTAGGTGGTAACAGCAGCAGTAGAAGTCATCTTTTTGCTACCACAGGAACTTCCAACATAGATCAGTGCAATTTCACCTGGTATCCTGCCATTCTCATCTCATTTTAGAGGTTTTTCAATGAGTTATGTGCATTAAATACGTGTTGTTTATCTATGCCTGTTCATATGGAAGCTTAATCAGTTTTAGAGGCTGTACTAGACAATATAGCATTTAATTATATTTTATCTCAAAGCAGTGGAAAGAGCAATTGTCTGGAGGTAAAACACTTAGCCTGAAACACCAATCCAAAAGAACCTATGCACCCTAATGTCTATAGCAGCACAATGTACAATAGCCAAGTGCTGGAAGCAACCTAAGTGCCCATGAGTAAATGAGTGGATCAAAAAACTATAGTACATTTACACAATGGAATTCTACACAGCAGAGAGAAAGGAACTCCTATCCTTTGTGACTACATGGATGGAACTCGAGAACATTATGCTAAGTGAAATAAGCCAGGTGGTAAGGGACAAATACCATATGATCTCACCTTTAACTGGAACATAATCAACAAAAGGAAAAAGCAAACAAAATATAACCAGAGACAATGAAATTAAGAACAATGTAACAACAGCCAGAGGGGAGGGGGGAGGGGACAATGGGGGGAAAGGTTTTCAGGAACTACTATGAAGGACACATGGACAAAACCAAGGAGGAGGGTGGAAGCAAGGGAGGGAGGTGGGATTGGCTGGGGTGGGGGGGAGTAGTGGGGAGAAAATGCAGACAACTGTAACTGAATTATAATAAAGTAATTTAAAAAATAGATAAAGTCTTTAAAAATTAAAAAGAAATAAAGATTTGGGTGCTGGTTGTGAGTCATCTGCTTATTAGCTGTAAGACTGTGGCCAAGACACATAATTTCTTGGAAGTCCATTTTTTCACTTATAAAATGAGAATAATAATAGTATCTCTTCCATAGTGCTATTTCAAGGATCAAGTCAAATGTGAAAGTACAAAGGAATATATAAATCAAAGAGAACATTGATTAAGTAGAAGAATTTAAAGATAATAAAACAATAAAAATGAGATTTCTTCAATTTCTTTGTTCAGTGTCTTATAATTATGAGTACAGCATGGATGGTCCTATAAACATTATGCTAAGTGAAATAAGCCAGTCAGAGAAAGACAAATACTATATGATTTCAGTCATATGTGGAATCTAATGAACAAACTGAGCTAACAAGAAAGAGAGACAAGCTCATGGACAGAGAGCAGACTGATAGCTTTTGTGGGGGGTGGTTAGGGGATGGAGGGACTGAGCAAAAACAGAAAAGGACTCATGGAATAACAGTGTGGTGGTTGCAGAGGGGAGGGGTATAAGGCAAATAAATGATAATGGAAAAAATACAATGAAAATAAATTAAAAAAATACAATGAGATACTACCTCACTCCTGCTAGGATGGCTATTATCTACAAGACACGGAATAAGAGGTGAAGAAGTTAAAGAAAAAGGAATTCCTATACACCATTGGTGGGAATGCAAACTGGTACAGCCTCTATGGAAAACAGTATGGATTTTCCTAAAAAAAAAAAAAAATAGAGTTACCATATGACCCAGCAACCCTGTTCTGGCTATCTACCTGAAAATTTTGAAAACAGTTATTTGCAAAGATATATGTGTTCCTATGTTCATTGCAGCATTATTCATGGGGCCAAGACATGGAAACATAGTGTCCTTTGATAGATGATTGGCTCAAGAAGATGTAGTACATACATACAATGGAATACTAGGCCATAAAAATATTAAATACTGCCATTTGTGCCAACATAGATGGATCTTGAGAATATCATTCTAAGTAAAATAAGTCAGACAGAAAAAGTCGAGATATGATTTCACTCATATATGGGATATAAAACTGAAAGCAACAAATGAACAAAGAAGATAAACAAAAACTCAGAAACAGATCACAGTATGGTGGTTACCAGAGGGAAAGAGCAGTGGAGGGTTAGTACAGGGTAAAGGGGGTCAAATATATGTTGACAGAAGATTTGACTTTGGGTGGTAAACACACAATGTAATATACAGATGATGTGTCACAGAACTGTACACTTGAAACCTATATCATATTTATTAACCAATGTCACCCTGACAAATTTAATTAAAAAAAAAAGAGGTAGCAGTGAGCAGAAATTTTGAGGAAATTATAGAAGACAGGA